AGTTTTGTTTGGAAACCGATGTTGTCTTTCTATCAAGTTCATTATAACTAAACAGCAGAATACAGCTGATACTAGCAGTCGCTTCGGCGAAAAAAGGTTTATTCGTGCTGCGCAGCTTAGAGAGGATTTGATCTGTGAAACAGTAGATATGGTTGGTTTTGACTGATTCATTTAATTTTTTTTTTCCTCTTTTTTTTGTAGGTTTTTGTCAGCTTTGCAAAGGAGCAGACAGATGATGACTGCCTCACAGACGTGGTAATCAGTAATGGCGCTCCACAGCTAAACCCTCCCATCAGAATAAATCCTCCCAACATTCAGCCTCAACAACAAACAACATCCCCTCAGCAGAAGAAATCTCCACAGCTTCCTGCCCAATCACCTGAAAGCAATTCGAAAGGAAGCAAACCGAGAAAAGCCAAAGCCAGAAAGGTCAGTTCCAACGGGGAAACGAGCGGCAGCGTGCCTCTGAGCAGATTACCTCAGACACAAGAAAAGCCTCCAGAGTTGGGCAGCAGCAACGGTGGAGTTCAGAGCGAGTCCAGCAAACCTCACAGGTCAAATCAAAGAGAGGAGAGCTCCAATAACGATCCTGCTGCGCTCTTTATAGTCGGCACCAACTCACAGGACAGCTCGCTGTGAGCTGTGCAGGACCAAAGACAGAGAAGACATTCTTATCTCTTGTTTATTCATCTGAATGCTGCAGAGTTCATGACAAACCTCTGTCGGTCTGTCAGAAGTCAACAGTGTTCTTCCTTTTAAACGGCTGCGGTGCCTTGTTCACCTCGTCATATATCTGTAGCTTTAGAACGGTTAAAAATGCCTGAAAGTATCAGTTTTATCTCCCTGAAGTAACATTTTGCTCATATTAAAGAGTGCTATGCAGGGTGAAGTGCAGAAATGGGGAGTTTGTTTCTCAGGTCTCCTTTAGACGATATATTCCAGTTGATTTATTTATTCTTTCCAGAAAGCACTTTAAGCAAGATGCTGCAAAGATTCATAGAGTAGCAGATTATGTGTAATTTTATGGGGATTTTACAGATATACGTTTGTAGAGTGGTGGAGGTTATTACAAGACAGTTTACAGCAGATTTTACCTCTTTGTTTCATAATTATGTTTTCTTTGCATCATTTAATTTATTTAGAAATTTATGTTGTGAGTTTTATAGTTACTTTCCAATAGTGGGTGTTATTTATATTTTTTGTTTTCCTTTTTCCATTTATCTGTATTTTGCATGTTTATAAATGAAGTCTAGAATGACTCCATTGAAGCAGATGTGGCTCCTTAATGATTTTTATCAAAAGATAATTTGCCAAACTGTTCAAATTCAATCAGTGATAAAGTCCTGATTAGTAAAAATACACTGAGTTAAAAGGCTTTGAAGAACTAAAAATCCGTTTGGTTTATTGCTGAATGTCTGAAGCACTGTGATGCACTGTTACATTTTCAAATATTTAAAACTATTTTTCATTTTAACATATTTAAAATATTTCTGTGTTGTTTAAGACTAAGGACAAGTATGTGAGCTTTCATTCCAATATCTCCATGACTATAATTTAAACATGGAGCTAATAGCTGATTTTTCAGCTTTTTTTTTTCTTTTCTTTTTGTCTTTTCTTGCTGCATGTCAAATCAAGTAAAGCTGAACGAGCAACTTTAAAAAGAAAGCTTGCATTGCTGAATGTAAACTCTTACTTGAAAAAAATAACATATATCTGCTGTAAGATCCGAATTATATTCTATTAAAATGACATCCAAAAAAAGCATAAGCCTATTCTGAATGTTTTTTGGTGGAAAAAATAAAATTATTTAATTTGTCAAATTGTATAGTTCAAGAATTTTTTCTTCATCAAATGAAAAGAGAGATGTTGGCCTGTCTGCTTTGTATGAGGAAAATATAAATGGTTTCATCCCATTACCGAAGAAACCCCAGAGGTCATATTTGTGGTAACGAACCCTTATTGTGCACTACGTTCACAATACAACATGGATGAAATATTCCCTTCTTTTTTTATATACTGTAAATAACTAGAAGTACATTTTTAGACGCACAGGTTTGACTCTAGTGAAACCTTATTTTCTGGCATCCCAGAGGAGGTGCTCTGATTGCACCGTGCATCCTCACCCCTCTTCCTCTTCTTCAGTTTACGTGTAAATGGTGAAGAATGCATAAAAATCAAGTCTCTGCACTCAAAATAATAATTCATCTAGAAAAAGAACATTTCTGTTTAGATAAAACCTTGGAATTGGCCCTGTGCATTTGATTAAAAAGGCATTTTGTCTCTGATTTGTAAGCTGATATAGATTCATGATGATCTCTAGCCTTCAAAGGAAATGACTTTGACTTTTTAGCAGTGCAAACTCAGATTAAGATTTATTTAAATGTTTTAAGCAGAAAGGACCCTAAATATTTAGCTGCATTAACAACAGGTCTTGTGTTACTTTTAATGTTGAAGCTCTCTTAAATGAAAAAAGGACAAATGAGGTCCAAAATAATGTTTAACTAAGTAAACGAATAAATCAGAAAATCAGAATATGTCCAAAAATCATATCTAAAATCAATCATCCCTCACTCTTCTTTACCACACTTTCACACCGTCTGCAACACAGATCTATGCAGGTGCTTTACGTTAGGTTTTAATAGGCATTTTGGAATTTTAATAGTGGACTAGAGCAATAAAAACACAGATTGTAGATGTCTTTGTTAAAGCATTGTGGTCCAGGCATGTCAATGGCAGAACGGTAAAGCGCCCAAGGGAGTATGCAGGCCTTAGTCCCATGGGGTTTCTTCTAAATAATGGTAAATGCCACTTCTGGTAGATCCACAATCTCCCTACTCAGTTGTTGTTTATCGTTGATACACGCTGCACAACAAAAGAGTCATCTAAGTATTTCCTCTCCACAAAGACCGAGCTTCCTTTTCCAGATTCCCATCATCTAGGAAGAGCAAATAGAGCAGACACACCAATAAATAACCCAGCTCATGAGGCCTAGGGCTGCAACAATATACACATCTTATTTATCATATAAACCTGGCAAGAGGGCTGCTGTCTTGCAGGGTTTAGAGGTTTTCCTGCTTCAGCACAGCTGTTTCTGATTACTGCAGTTCAATAACAGCTTGTTAATCAGCTATCAATGGAAATCAGCTTTGCTAAAGCAAAAACCTCTAAAACCTGCAGGAATGCACCTCTAGAGTGCTGGCTTTGGGCCATCCTGACCCTGCTGAGTGTCTGTGGGGCATTCTCAACTAGTGGTGGCAGTTTCGAAGCCCCATGAACCAACACAACAGGCCAAAAGTCGAAACATATGAAACACTATTGAATGGAGGCATCTGCTGGATAGCTATGAGAACTACATTTGAGCCGACATCCAAGTGTCTACAATAATTTGTTACTTAACTCTTTTGTTACACAATAACAGTATTGATAATGATTAAAGAAAATAGATGTTTATTTCTTTATTCTTGACTTGTGAAATTTGTGTGTGATTAACATCCCTTCTGTTGCTCAACAGCTTGAGTGATGCCTTTTTTGTATTAGCGGAATGTTGTGTAATTATACCTTATAAAATCATACTTTAGGCCACAAGAATGTGGGAGGAGTGTGTGCTTCTGCAACTGGGATGGTGCTTGTGTAACTTGTTTACTGCTCTCCACATCATCGTCCGCCATGGTGTTTGTTTTTCTTGCCGCTTCTCTGTAGCAAGAAGCAGAATAGTAACCTATGTCAGTTACTAATGCCGTTGTTCAGACACAGATCGCATTTGAAAAGATCAGATTCGTATTGGATTCAGGCAGAGATGGGAAGTAACGAAGTACAAATACTTCGTTACTGTACTCAAGTAGATTTTTCTGATATTTTTCCTTTACTTTACTACTTATTTTTATGGCGACTTTTTACTTCTACTCCTTACATTTTAAAAAATTGGCTCGTTACTTTAGTTTTGAATCATTTCAATGGAGTTACCGTTATTATTTTTCACGTCATAAATACCAAATTCAATCTAATTGGATGGGAGTCTATGTTGCATTTGACGCACCACTACAAGATGAATCGACAGATTCGGCGGTATTCATTGGCGGCAAATCATTGCAGCTTGGTGGCGGTGGCGTTAGCATAGCAGCATGGACGACGAGATGATTGAAAATGAACACAACAGAGATCTAGTCCTATTGGCAGACATCCATTTAAAATGTAGGCAACGGCATGAAAAAAGTGGTTTCTACTTTTACTTTTATACTTTAAGTAAATTTACAAGCCTGTACTTTGTTACTTTTACTTGAATAAAGAAGTGTAATCAGTACTTCCACTTTTACCAGAGTATTTTTTAACACAAGTATCTGTACTTTTACTCAAGTACGGAAAGTGAGTACTTTTGCCATCTCTGGATTCAGGACAACATAGCCAAGTGGCCTGGGTCGGATTGGAAAAAAAAAAAATCAGATCTGTGTTGTTCAGACTGTCATGAAAAGATCAAATCCAGGTCGCATGTAGGCAATAAAATCGGATTTGGGTCGCTTTAGGCTGCAGTGTGAACTTAGCCTTTGTTGTCAAGTAAATGTTAATATATGATGTTTTGAATATTCCACTTGAGAGTATTACTGTTGCCACCATCTGTAATAGAGGGAAAAATGGTAGGGGTGGCCAATGATTGGCTAAGGGTAGCAATGGCCACCCCTGGCCCCCCATCTAGCTCAGCCCCTGCTACAAATTACTCCAATTTAGATGTTTATGCATTCATTGTTTTTAAAAAAAATAGGACATTAACCAAAATGATCCAAATGTATAGAAATGTATCACCCCGTGTAACTAAATAGAAAAATAAATAAATATATATATATATATATATATATATCCTGACATACAGTTTCCATTATTTCAGGTTGATATAATATTCTATATTAAATTTTAAGTTGTTTTTTTTAAGCAGTGTGTTTTTGGTTGTGTAATCGTGTTTTTTCCCTCCTTTTATTCGCAGTAACAATGTCTGTACAGTAGGATGAAATGAGTCGTGAACAGCGCTGCGCTTTCGGACACTTTCTGCTGTAACAAACAGCTTCACTGTAAGGCTAGCAGCCAGAAGCTACCATTTATTAGCACCGCTACATTTCTATCTGCTGCCTTTTATTCTGTAAATATACCGCTGGCCTTGCACTTCTGTCCCAATATACCTGAATAAAATGGTCGTTTTGACAGATAATGAAGATCAGGATTACATGTAAGTACTGAGTTTCCTCATTACTTTAGCTAGTTAGCATTAGCACGGACCATAGTTTACTTAAAATGTAAATAAAGGAAGTATGCAATGATATTTCTTAAAACATAAATTCGTCTGGGCTTACTGAATTATTTATATAAGCTTTCAATGATTTGAGTCTACGTCGCAGTTTTACATATAATAAAAGATTATCTAATTGCCCTTGTTAGCCCTTTAGCAGCTAGCTAACAACTGGCTAACTTGTTTACGTTAACTGTTAGTTTTTTGTTTTGTTTTTTAAATCAATCACCCTTACCAACATTATTGTTTCAACATCTGAAAATGACAGCGTTAATGCGTGTTTGATGATTAATGAAACACATTTATTAGTAAACCGAGCAAATAGCTGTCGTAAATGTAATATGATACGCTAGTTTGTCTGTCTTTTAATGTAATGAGAAATTGCTTAATATAAAATAATGCAAAATCAGATGCAGTCTATTAGGATACTATTAACTTGCAACGATTAAGAATTGCATTTTATGTGCAGAGAGCCCAGCAGAGGCGGGGCAGGACCCTAGCATGAAACCCACTGACCTACATCTTATGCAGGAGATTCACATTTCACTGCCCTGGACTAGTCTAGCTTACTGGATTGATACACTGGAAAGCATTACAGATACAATTATAAATTATACTGCTTTTGATATTCTTGCTTTTTATTAGCTACATACTTTTATCTTTATTTATCATAGCTTTCCAATTAAATTCGTCCTCTTCATTTAACCCATCTCTTAGGGAGCAGCTGGCTGCCCCTGTGCAGCACCCAGAAGCATTCTGGGAATAAAGGGTGTGTTCAGGTACTCAAAGTGGAAATGTTTAGAGATCAAACCAGGGAACTTGCAGCCTTCACCAGATGCAAGCATCTGTCTCTAAACACTAGGCCAGCGTTGCCCCCACGATCATAATATTATTGTATAATTATATTTGAATTTAACATTTCAAGTGCAATGTAGCATTTGAGAGACGTTAAATTGACGTCAGCTTTTCTGCACTCTGCCAGCAAGTTTTTGTCCACAAAGAATCTGCAGTGGTCTGCTGAGGAAATCTAAATTGGTTCAATTAAGTTTATTTCTATAGCACCAATTCACAACATATGTCATCTCAAGGTATTCTACAGAGACAATTTAACCAGATCGTACAGTCAGATTGGTTCAAAATTTTCTATCTGAAGAAAACCAGCTGATTGCATAAACTCATTGACTTTTCAGCATCCCTCCCACCAAACATGCTTGTAGCGACTGAAGAGGAAAACTCCCTTTTGACAGGATGAATTTCAAAAGAAAATTGTTGTTTTTTTCTATTATAACACTCACTTTGGTTTCCATGACTTAGAGTGACATCAGTTGATAATTTTTTCTCCTTAGATGTGTGCCCCTAGCTGATAAATTAGTTATCTATGTGATAACACTAGCTGCAAACATTTAGTTTGATTTGGTTTCATTTTTTTTGTGAAATGGAACATTCCGTTTTTAGCAATTAATTAAATCCAATATTAAAAGGGTTAACTCTATGTTCTTCTCTTGTATTAAATCCAAAGACTGATGTTCATTCCTTCATGTTTTAGAGTAGTTTAAGCAGTTTTCTACCTGCTCTGGCTTTTTTAGCCATTTTATATTGCCTTCTACCTCCTATATTATTAGGTGCATAAGGCTTTGTTGTAGAAACCTGAGGGTCAAACATTTGTACAGCTTTAACGTAATCTCTGTTCTGTTTCTCAGCCTGATAGAAGAGCGCAAATGCGTCTCACTGCCCTGCTCACCTGCTAAGCGCGTATCTCCTGCCAAAAAGAAGCAGTTTTACATCAATCAAGCCATCCGCAACTCAGACCTCACTCCACGTGCGAAAGGCAAGAAGAGCCTTCGCAGACAGGAAAACAGTGAGTGTTACTGAATACATGATTCCATTTCTACTGGCTGAGCCAGGGGGGCAAATATGGTTCTCCATGGATGTAAAAACATATCGCCTATTTACTTTTGATCAAGTATCAGGGGCCAAATGAAGATAATTTCTGCTGGTATGAATCATGTAAAGAGGAAATAATAACATTAACTTTAGTAAATAACATTAACCAGACATTAAAAACAGCCACTGTTGCAACATTTACTACTGATAAAGGTTTCCTTTATCAGTAGTTATATGTGGAGATTGGTGTCATGCAAATGTCAGGGATGCATGGACATTCTCTGCATGGCCTACTTTTGGTAGATGGATCATAATCTGGTCTTTTTTGTTCTTTTGTGATAAATTCTTTCTTTAGATACGTTTGTCACGAATATAATTAGGAAGGGTTGATCCCAGATGGCCGGATGAGCTCAGTGAAAATATTACAGATAGTGATGCTGTGTTGGGGAAGAAGTCTTAAAGTGTGGGTGTAGCAGGCTTTTAGCGAGTAATGTGTACATTTGATGCCCTTTACTAAAAAAATGACAAATGGTACGCCCTGTTTTTGGGATGTTTTCTCATGAAAACTTCGCACAAATGTTAAAAATATCACAAGCAGCGTATGCTGGAGTTGAAAAGATGTAATTTTTGTTGCCCGATGCGCCAGATCAACCAATCAGAGAAGCTGATCTGCGAGCTGCCAGGGAGACAGAAACTGCGCTGCTCATTTAGAGTGTTGTGATTACTCCTCTGAAACCGTTTATTAACTCTTAACTTAAAATGTTGAAACCTTTTATTTTATCAGCTTTTATTTAGTGAAATGACATTATTTATATATGTTTAACAAAAAAGAAAGGTGCCTATGGCCTTCACAGGGGGCTTGTTTCCTCATCGTCATCATGTAAGCCTACCATTTTATCCCACCGTATGTTTCTGTGTAATGCACGTATTATTCTTGAATAATCATCAGTTATTAAATAAACAATGCTGCCCTCAGCAATTTTTGAGGTGGGATGTCAGCTGTTTCTTCTCTTTTTTTTCTACCTTTCTGTTTGTTTTGTTGATCAATGCCCCTCTGTTTTTTTGTTTTTTCACGCATGGGGCACACAGACCGGTGTGACAACCCAACGTGCAACTATATTTCAGCCTTAAAGCTGTGATACAGAAAGTGTAAACCCTATTAAATATTCCTAGCTAAAAGTTTGGAGTGGATTATTAATACCTTGGTCATAACAGACTGTGCTCAAGTTATCACATAGATCCTGTCCACAAGCAGTTTAGCAGAAGTAGCATTTATTGTTTGTAGCAGATTTTTCAACACATTGTATATTTTGTCTTTAGTTGAAACGTTTTGCTCCGTTTCAAGAAGGATCTCTACCAGTGGTAGAGATCCTTCTTGCACACACCTATCCTCTCCGTGAGCACAGTTGGAGCTCATGCAATGCCTGATGTGCCTGATGGCATTTCCATACTCTTCTCTTAACTGTTTACCTGTTTTCCTTTCTCCAGCCCGTTTTCTTGCCAACCTGCTTGAGAAGGACGAATGCTCCAAAGATGACCTGGAAGTTTGCAGCAACCCAGCTATCCCGTCCATCTTTACTGAAGCCTGCACCAATGGAAACTATATCCAGGTACAGAAAGCCGTTGGAGAGATCAGGGCTTGAAATAAGCCATATTTTGGATCATTTATGTTTATTTGTCTGTTTTTTAAGGTCTTTAAAGGATGAAATAAACTATTCTGAAACATGTTTATATTTGGAGGCCTTTTTACTGTCCTTTACTCACCAGCTGGTTTCATTTATTTTTAACCTTAATCTGATGTTTTATTTTGCTAAGAAAGGTGGCCATCTTGTGATAAATCGCTTGTGTTTTGGTAGCCATGGGGCGACTTCATGAATTGCTCAGGTGAGGAGCAGGAGCGGCTGCTTTCTCTGTTGGAAGAGGAGGGGGCCAGGAAGAAAAATGCCAATCAGCTTCTTAAAGACCACAGAAATGGTGAGCCTCTGTTTGTTTATATGTCTGCGAACGTCCAGGCTTTTCTGTGACTGCTTGTCTGAAAGGCATTCATCTCTCTACAGTATATCCTGCCTTTGCTGCTCAGGAGTGTTTCCACAGAATCGATCGCAGGCTTCGAGCGACTCTGAGACGGAAGCAAATCCCCATGGTGTGTATGGCCTGTTTTTGGCAGCTTCTACTGTTCTGAGAGGCTTATCATTAGCTGTGTGTATCAGTGGGTCCTGCTGGGTCATTAGAATCCTGTCCACATGATTTGACAATCGTGTTACATTACAAAAGTTTTAGTTTCTCCAGGTCATATTTTTGTTCCTTCTTTGGTGGGTCGATTGTTTTTGTATTTGCTTAATTTGACATATTCAATTTATTCATTTTTGATTTAGCCTTCTGACTAAAAGGTTATCTTTCAGTCTTCGAGAGCTGCTCTACCGCATGTTCAATCTTCATCTCTTAAGATTTATAGCTGAATCAAATGAATGACTCATTTCCAGACCTCTGTGGATCTGAATGATGGACTAATGAGGACTTGGAGTCAGTTATGTAGGAGTTGCAGAATAGTACTTCATGAGGGCTAGACTTGGGCATCCCTGTCCTATAGTATTATCCTAAATATCACCTTTGAGTGTATGTATTTCTTGTTACCATTTAAGAACTAAAATGATCTATTTTGACACATTTATTTATCAACCTTTCAGTTAATGCTCGAGTCTTTACACTGTATATTTTGCTTCTAAACAAATGAGCATTTCCAAGTGACTTTCCTATTCCTCTGAGTATTATCCCGTACCAAAGTCAAAGGGAAAAACATTACTTCAAAATATTGTCACCTGGCCTGAAAAAAGGTTTTAAACATTGATTAGAAAGCCTATTTGTGTAGAGGACACTACCGTATGAAAAGCACAGTAGCAGCTTTTAAAATCCTTGAAGTAAGAAAACTGCTGCTGTTTTCCAGGGAACGCTGGAAGTCATCGAGGAAAACCTTCTCAGCTTCTTCAGCGCTGAACCTAACTCAGTTTACACAACCATCCTCAGCAGCAGGTAGAAATCCTCTTTCTGTTGTCAGAATATCCGCAGGTCTTCAAAGCTCTGGATTCAGATGCTTAGTATAAAGCCTGGAAAGGTAAGTCTGTAATGATAGCAGCCTAAGACCTAAAGCAACTATGTGCTTCTTCTAACAGTCTCTGATGAGGGAAAATTATTGTTTTTTTGGAAACCAAACACTGTTAAGTGCCAAAATGTACGGAGTAGGGCTGTGGGATTTTGCTCACAATAAAAACGGCAGTTTATTTATTTATTTTTTAATCAAAATTGCAGTTTTATTTTAATTTTCTTCTGCACTAACCACAAGCATACATCTTTCTACTCCATAGTTTCATTGTGTTTTAGCTTTACGTTTTTTCACATACTTTGTGAATTTGCATATGTGACAAGGTGTGCATATCTGTTGAGCCGAGAGAGGAATATTGCTTGTAACAAACTTAATACTTGTTTTGAATTTAAAATAAAAGATGATGTCAAATTTCATCATCTTGATTCTGTGGTTTGTCTTTTTTGGACCAGTTTTGAGAGGCTGCTTCTTCATGCCATCTGCCAGTATATGGACCTGGTCTCTGCCAGTGAGTACACAGTTTATTATATACAATTTCTATTTATCTTGACTTATAATGTTTATAAGCTTAACCAAACTGGTATTACTACCTTGTGCTGACTTTCTCGCTATTTATGTGCTGTTTTTGCATCCATAAAGGCAGTTTGATATCTTCCAACACATTGAAGTGATTAAACTGTTTTGGTTCCACAGGCATCGACTACAACGGCTCACGCCAGACTAAAGTGGTGAACAAACAGGAGGAGTTTCTTCCTCCTGGACTTCTGCTGTCTGCCTATCTGGAGCAGATGAGCTGAAACCGGAACTACGCCTTTCTCTCCTGTTTCCTCAGAAAAAACAAGCTCTGTCACACTTTCATAAAATATCCAGTGATATTTGGGTTTATTCTGTCCACAAAGGAGTAAACATTACTTTAGCATACCTGTTGGCATGTTGTTTTACAGGAAAGCTAGCATACACAAACATCCAACCACACCTTCACCACACACATCGTTTCAAATATAGTAAATTTCTGAGATTACCAGAAATATTAGTAGGTTTCGACTTTCAAATCCATCCTGCAGAGCAGTTCCTCACTGGTTTGGAGCAAAACCGAGACAATTTTTTTTAATGTCATTGGGCTTAAGGAATATTGTTTGGAATAAGTGATTATGTTTTAAATAGCTTTTTGCCACGACTAGTGATTACAACACAGTTGTAAAATCACCATGTTTTGGTCAACACCGCCTCTTGAGGATATTTTTAAATTACTGTTTAGATAAACGCAGATAGTTAAAGCAGCTTTAATTCTTGCATGTTTCGTACTGTGTGAGGACTGACTGGGAATGTGGAGACATGAAACTATAACAGTGAGCTCATCAACTTCTTTGAATGCTTATTTATACTTTATACAATTTTCTCTTAGAGAACAATATATCTTGATCAAGATAAAAAGTTTTTATAAATTTTCCAAGACCTCAACTGTAACGCAAGTTATTTGTTCTGATTGGCACTTGGATTTTGTGTCAAAGAAATGAAACTAGAAATATGTCAAAACTTTGACCTTTCTATTTTGATTAATCCTGCATAATAAATAGGATACATATCTGTATCAAGAGAAAAAAAAGCTACTGTAACCTAGGTTACATTCATATTTGCACATCTTTACAAATGATCCAAAATGTGCATAAAATAATTGTCTAAAAAATAAGGCCAGCTTTTTGTTTTCATGACGTCCTCCAACAATTGTGTTTGGCAGTTAAGGTTTACAGGATGCATTTCCAATGAAAGAAATCAAGAGTCAGAATATACAAAATGTAGACCTGCTTTTTAGTCATCACTAGTAACTGTTTAGTTAATATTATATTGCTGTGTTTTGCTGGTGTTATTTTAGATTACTCAAAAACTAAACTCATTCTGTTCAATATAAGCTGTTGATTTACTCAACTTATGAGTATTTTTAAAAATAATTTGGTACAATCTATAAAGATCAAATAAATCCTCTAATGGGGAAAACCTGGTTGCAGTTATGAATTGAATATTTAAAGAAATGAACTTGTGAAGTGTGTGTCCTGCTAAAAACATAGATTTATTATTTAAGCAGAAATAAAATCAACACCTAAAAACATAATGAAAAGTTTACTTCCTGTGATCTGCAGCTCTCCGTTGGCTGTAAGGAATCTGTTGCTCTGTTACACGTTTGGATGAATGGTGCTAAAACTGCTTTCAAATCCAATGCATATCCAATGGAAATAGTCACCCTCTGGATTTCTGGTGGAAGTATGAATATTAGTTGTCCTGTTTGGAAAGACAGCAGAGGTGAAGATAACGGTCATCGTTTAGGGAAGATTTTTTCCAGTCATCTATATAAGTAGAAGCTGGTTCATTTCTGTCTGAAACACCAACATCCTGAATACACTGGAAATGTCTTCATAAACCAAATGTTCAGAGCTTAACCAGTGCTACTGCAACCACTGCCATCTAAAATGCTGTTCAGGTTTTGAGCTTAGATCTGTTTAGACCTCTAGATGGTGCTGATTTCCAGTGTAGACAGAGTACCTGTTTCATCTCTGTAAATCTCATAGGAAACTTCATTTTTTCATGCCATGTAATTGGGGGATTTGTTTCTGTGTATAAATGCTTACACACGTATAACACAGTTTCAGTATCATAACCGATGTTATGGTTTAATAAAATCCACTTCCTGTGCAGCGAATGCATCATTTCACACTTTTATGACCTATATTTAATAAATGGAAGTTATTTAAAACAATTTCATCAACAGTTGACACTTAAAGAAAAGCACTTCCGCCTTATGAACATTGTTTCTATCATTTGTCTCAACAAAAATTTCCAAATTTTTACTTGATCAGATTTTGAAAATGTGTATCCAGTAAGATAGAAAAAACTGCTTTCTTTATTATACCGTTTACAGCAGTGTAATAAAACTTGACCTATTGGTGCATTTTTGTCAACTACCAAAGCTTGTGCATCTGTCACAAGGATGCATCCAACTTCTCAGGCTTTGAAATGGTCACTGAATGTGTCGTTAGGATTTCTCTTGTCTTTTTATGTCTCTGCAGACGAACGTATTTCTCTACTGCAGTTTGCCTTTGTTCTCTGCTGCTCTCTGGAGGGCTGATTGCTTTTTGATGACATGTTATTGCACTGTAAATATTTATCTTAATTGTGCCAAACTTTGTTTATTGAAAGCCTGTAAAACTGTAAGAGCTTTCTATGTGATACTGGAACATCTTTGTGTTTATCTGATGTACATATTTGGAATGATCTCTGCCATGATTAAAGGGAATTTAAGGTGCAAGCATGAATTTATTTTTATTTCTTTTTTTTGTTTCACTATGTCATGTAGTTTATAAAGATAGTCTTAATATAAAGAAAATTCTAAGCAGAGCTAAGTGAAAAAATATGTTTTGCAAAGAACTTTTGAGCTGTCAACTTTTAAAATGTTCAAGACTGTCTTAAAAACTTAAAATACAAACAAACCAGAGAAAAATAAAAGCCCTTGGAAATTAGTAAAGCCATTATTGCTATTCAATTAAAAATTTTTTTGGCTAATATTTGCCAATGTTTACAGGAAGCTTGAGGGAATATTGCTCCAGGTGTTGACAATAGCTTCATGGGGGGCATCTACTGTCTGGAACTGGTTTGCATTTTTGTAAACCTACTTTGTGAATCAACCTCAAATATTCTCAGTAGGATTTAGATCAGGGGAACACTCAGGACAATCTAAAAGAATGTTTCTGTGGAAGAACTATTTTGTCAGATGGGCGTTGGGAACTGCTGCGTTTTCCTTTAAAAAAAAACTAATTACGGTATCACACAGATGGTCTTAAGTCAGAAGGGATGCCCCCTGCATCCATATAGCCAACTGCTGCTTGATGTCTTTGCTCAACCTGAAGCTCACTTTATCCACTGAAGGGGAAAAATCCCCCACATCATGATGGAAAGGTGAAATCTCCTTGTCATATCACTAACGTTCAAAGCCATAAGGACAATTCATTGTGATGAGCACCCAATTAAATCCTACAGATGGTAAATGGCCATTTTTCAAATCAGGAGACTTGACCAAATCACTTTACACTACAATTAGTCATTCACCCACAGACTGATAGTGGTTGCTCTAACTCACTGACGGAAGTTAGTTGCCCAGGCCTCCTGACTACCATCAGTAGACAACTACTTGGGTGTAGTGTCTTGCCCAAGCCGGTACCGGGGCTTGAACCATCAACCCTTTGATTTCAGGGCAAACTACTACATCTTTCATCTTGATCTTTTAAGAAGTTTAAAGGATTTTCTTAGCTGACCACGGCAACAATGGCACATGTTTAAAAAAGGATAGAAATTTAACTTTATTGCTCTCACAGTGGGGAAATTAACTCTGCATTTAACGTATACCCTTGGGGAGCAGTGGGATGCCACTGTGCAGCGCCCTGGGAACAGTATGGGGTTAAGGGTCTTGCTCAGAGACCCAGAGTGCCGGCTGTGAGGATCTAAACAGGTACTTGCAACCTTCTCAGAGCACAAGCGTGCTGCTCTGACCACTAGGCCGACACTCCTCCAAGCAAGAGGCCTCACTTATGCAGCTCAACAATCAAACAAGGTTCAAATAACTTTTTGCGTTTGCCATCGGGAAGTCATGACAGTGTGAATATGTGATTGTGGATCACTGAGCAGTTACTCAGTAGTTGTTACACTTACATAGACTCTTAAGAGCAAGGCTTTAATGCCAGAATGTTTATATTTTTAGTTTGGTTTCTGGGAAACTGTCAGGTTGGTCTTGAACCTTTGACTCCTGCAGCACTCCAAGTTTTATAAATCTTTTTCAAATTCTTCAGTGGACGTTGCACAATCCTCTTAGGAATGAGGTGTTTCCTGTTACTTGTGTTCTGTCCTCTGGCACAGTTTTCTGTTCCTCTCAGCTTTTCAATGGCCTACTTGAATGAAGCATTATTTACAAAACCAGATTCTTTAACAATTACTTTTTGTAGCTTACCCTACTTTATTTTGTCTGACAGAAAAACTGTCTGGTCAACAGCCATCATTTTGTTGGCCATAATATGGTAATAATTATAAAATTTTTTGAAAAAGAATGTTTTTTTCTAAATAAAGGACATACATTTTTCAAATATGTAACTGTTTGAGGGATAAATCTATATCCTGCTAAAAGTTCATGACTAGTTCATCTTTATAAAGTTGTAGAAGCTCATATTTGGCTTTCTAATATGAAGTAGGTTTAGTTTGTGGGATTGAAAAAGTTACAATCAAATAACCTCATTTGGAATTTATTTGCCAGGTTTATGCAGACAAACAGGGAATTTGTGGTTCGGTTCCACTTTGTTCTTAATGAAGACACCAAAATGAAGCTGATGTTTAAAGATGCGTTTTCATGTTAGCTTTGATTTAAAGCTAGAGTGTGTAATAATTACAGGGATATACAGTCAGAAATGTAATATATTAGACATAACTATGTTATTTATCATCATCTACGAGCTCAGCCTCTTAACCTTAATATTTGCGTTGCCTTAGAATTCGTTATTTATAATTACATAGGAGCGGTTCTCGCAGCCATGGAGGCAGACATCTTTGCGCTACGGCAGCGCAGAGCCAACAAACTAGCGATTGCGAGATCGCCAAAACGTCACAACGATGTAGAAAAAATAACGGGTATATTTATTATCTTAAGTCTACATGAAATCTATACTCTACACAGACTAATGAAATACTATCTGTAAAATTATCTATGTAAACAAACCTCATCGTCGTGGAAAACATTTTGTCCCATAACGCTCGCCGTACTGTTGGGGGGGGGAGAAGCGGTGGAGGGGAGATGTTCATGTTGCTGCAGTCTGACCGCTAGATGTCGCTAAAAGTTACACTGTAGCTTTAAATATATTCTCTCAAATAATCAGATTTTTTTTTTTTGTTATTCACTGCAGACTTTTTCCTAACTCAGTGTTTTTACTTTTAGGTTGAGTTTCTCTTCTGCAAAATGAGTTCAGTATGAAAGTTCTGTGTGGAAGCAGTGCGATCTGTGAAAAAAAAAAACAGTCTGCAATCTTGCATTTGTAAAGTCCTTCAGCAGTGCAAAGGCTGCCATAGTCCCACAATTACACATATTTCTACTGTTTTCTATGTAGATGGATTTTTAATAACAGCTTTTCCAGCTTTGACAGCTGTTTCATGTCTGTTTTATGTCCTCTTCTCCATTTTTCTATTCCGTTATTTTCATCACTAAAACTATGTTGCTCCGAAGTTTACTTTGATTATTTGTTGTTAATAAATTATCTATTTGTCGCTACAGTCCATGTAATTTCCCGCTAGCCAAAGCTCTCTCTGTCAACACACCAGGGTCAGCCAACCTGCAAAGCCTCACTTTGTTTATAACTCTCCTTTTTGTACACTTATCCTCAAGTTCATTAAACTTATTCCAGTTTGGGAGTTGATTTAATTTGTATCTGTGCTATTTCACAAGAATGGAAAAACCAGTTTACTGGACTGAAATGTGGTAACATTTTGACGCAACCAGCTGTTGTGAATTAGCTTATAACACACTATATTATAGTGTTTATATTGTTGTTTATAATAAACTATAAATAACTAACTTTATATCTTCTCATTAAACTATACTTTCACTCTGGTAGTTATTGGACAAAGTTTAAAAGAAGCCTTGAAAATGCAATGATATCTTATAAATTGTTTAAAGAAATTGCTGTTATATAATTTTTTAAATATAAATTATATTTTGGCCCCCGACAGCCTAATAAAGATATTATGTGGCATTAGCTATAACTTCTGCTGTTGTTTGCCAGAGTAGCATTCATTTTTCACAATATGAGAGACAGTAATCAGAGAAAAGATCAGGACAGCCGGCTCTTTCCTGGGATATTTGTTGAATTAAAGCGTTTGGGAGAACAAAGACTCTAAAAAAATACGTTTTTCAGCTTGTGAAAGACATGACAACAGCACCGTCAACTACTTCAGTGACAGACTGCTGCATCCTGAATGTAAGAAATAGCCTTTCAAATGGCTGCACCTATGTACTCTATACCAAGTATTTGTAAATAATAAAGAAAACAGCTAATAAATGTACCGGTAACCAATATTATCATATCTAAGGGATGCCTGCTTTCAGTCATTTACTTCTGTTGGATAAAGCTGTCAATTTGACCTTGTGTAGTAGTTTGTTTTGCTGTTTTCTCTTAAAATTGACATGCCTTCCTAAAGTCATATTTATTAAATTTGAATATTATTTAAGTTTGTTTATTTCAGTACCGTAAGTAGGCTACTCACTTCACCAACCAAAACCCATTATATAGATTAATCACACACAGACTGTTATTGTTTACAATTACTGAGATCTTATACACATTTTATTTAGTCCAGTTGTTTATGAATATAATGACATTTTCCTATTTACCATATTGTAAAACAGTTTGGGTTAACCACACAACAATGTAGCTATTACGTTTTGACCTTTTTTCTTACTTTTATTTTTTAAAGCAGATTTATAAAGTTAACAGCAACTTACCTGAATTATCCTACAATTAATAAATACACAAAACCAGATATATAGGATAAAAGGAGTAGTAAGAGGAAATTGCAAACCAGTTAGGATTCTAAAAGGTGATTTTGTGGGGAAGAAAGACATCTTTATATATATTTCTTCAAACAACAATTTATAACATAAACATACAACTTAAAAAAAAAGTAACTAATTAACATGCAGAATAAAAAAACTTAAATAATTTTTTTCATTTAAATGACCATAGCAATGAAATGCATACTTCTTTCCTGTATTGAATCATTTATATATTTTTATGATTGCATATTTATAATAACCAGATTGACAGGGGGTCAATGTTTGCATTGGTTTATTTATCAATAGTTCCTGACATGTTTTATCTTGAAACAACAGAAGAAAGAAAGAGGAACATATATATTGTTCCTGTCAGAAGCAATGAAAACCTTGAAACTTTCCTATGCAACAAGCAGAAGCACAAGACTTGACATATTTTTACTGAAATAACCATTAAAACGGTCAAATATACTGTATACTTTCTTGTATTGGATGATTAGCATACTTTTATGATTGCATATTTATAATAAGCTCATTGAAAATTTTCACTGGCAGGTAGGCAGTTCCATCACGCCATCAATACACTGTACACGCATTGGCACTCTGCCGACACGTCTTCCTCTTTTACAAAAAAAAGAAATGTAATCCTTATGAACTGCATACAGTTTTGTTTGCCAACTATATGTAAACCTAAGATTATTTTGCTCCATTAACTGCTCATCCACAGTGCAGGCACCTAAAAAGACAAAACAGAAAACAATCCTCAGTTAGTTCATAAATTCATTCTTTTAAATAATAATCAATCATCAAAGTGATCAAACTCTGAAATTAACATATGGATTAAATAACTTTTCATGTTATTTTTCACAAGGTCTTGTTAATTGCATATCACCATTAGAAATACAAAAAAGAGATTTTCCTAATTCTTAATTTATACGGTCAAACCATACAACCTGAACACATAACCCCTGTTTTGTTACTCCATTGGTCTTCACATTTATACTTTGTCATTTATATAGTTTTAAAATTGCTGGTCTGATCAGATAAACACTTTTTTGTGAAATGATTAAATTTATTGAATATATCAGACTGAAAGGCATCAATTGTGTAACTCTGGAGCTATACTGCTAAGAATAAAGCGTCTCTGCATGCGCCACAATATCACAGAGACTGTATGTCTTATAATTATAGGAGCTCTATTAGAAAAGATGGTCAGTAGAGACACTTGAACAAAGTATTTCCATAACAATACTTTATAACGATATGTGTCTTATTAACTGTCCCGTATGAAATGATTTAGCTTTATCTAATCTTAAATAATACCATTGCTGATATGGTGCCATTACACATTCTATTATCCTTTTTCTCAACTGAATGAATCACAGCAGCAATTATTTCACCATAAAATAAATCCCTTTCCATCACATTTCAGAAGTAAATTTAAAAGTACAACATGCAAACTCAAAATGTAAAATAGTTTAAAGTAGTATACTCAAAATGTAAAATAAATTACCATTTCTACAGGTTTTAAATCGATCACCCTCATTAGTATATCGAGGAAAACAGCTGTATTCAACTCTTTCACCCTCTTGGTAATCTGGCTTAAGCAGGGCGTACACTGCAATTTTTTTCAATCATTGCACGCATCTGCTGCTCACACCGTACGACTAATTGCAGGGTTTCCTCAAACATTGTGAGTCATAGCTCACGATTTATGTTCGGCCCGACGCTCTCATGCGATCTACCCTTCTCACACTGTACAACTAAAACCACTTCGGACTCAGGTCCGCAGTGAGATGGAGCTGCTCTGTAGCTCTCTATCCTGAAGCCAAACAAATAGAAGGGGGATATTAAGCTCAATATAGTAAACCGCACTGCCTTTGCAATTTGTGCAGTTTTGTGCTGAGGGTCCTAGAAAGAAAGGGCGACGACGTATTTGGAAAAAGGACTATTTCGTAGTCTTCTCTGCTCATCATTGTTGTTGCTGATCTGGGTTTCCTGTCTCAGCAGACAATAAGAGAACCCACTCCAAGGAGTTTCTGCTGTCCTCTTTTGGTTGTTTTTAAATAAACCTGTTTTGAAACTTTTAGTTTGTCTGCTGAATGCAAGCTTCAGTGCGCTATACACTTAGGCTACTTTTACATGGCAGGCCTTGATGCTCAATTCCATTTTTTTTTGTGAAATCTTTTTTTTCCATTCACATTTCCAAATATATGCGACTTGAATGTGACCTACTGCGTGAACTGCATTCATACAGCTTAAGGGTCCCTCATGCGCAGTAGAGGACGCAATGACGTCACAGGCCACTGTGCTTCTTGTTTACGGAAGTAAACATGGATGTAGTGCTGGAGCGCATTTAGCAAACTTACCAAACAAAAAAACCTCAATCTTTTCAAGATGGTTAAACATAAATACTGCTCTCCGCATCATCGTCTGCCATGGTGTTTGTTTTTCTTGCCGCTTTTGTGTCGCAAGAAGCAGAATAGTGACCTATGTCGGCTATTAATGACGTTCAGGTCGGGTGAATGTGACCTGGCTGTTCAGACAGAGGTCGCACCTGAAAAGATCAAATTCGTGTCGGATTCAGGACCACATAGCCAATTGGCCTGGGTCAGATTGGAAAAAATCGTATCGGATGTGTTTTTCAGATAGCCATGAAAAAATCAGATCCAGGTTTCAAAAAAATCGGATTGGGGTCACTTCAGGCTGCAGTGTGAACCTAAGAGAATGTAAGCAGGAATGGAAAAGTAGCTTTAGATGGGGCTTGATCACACTTTTTTCAAATATACACATAGTATACATACCGTTTTGTAAGATTTTTCTGACATTATGTGACTATTGTCATTTGTATTTTATTTTTGAAATGCTTGTAATTTCAAACCACTAATAATATTTTTAAATGTATTTAATGAACTTGTACAATAAAGAGTCATGAAGCAAAGTTTACATTTCAACTTTGTTATTGAAACAATGTAAAGAGTTACCCAAATTAAATGATAATAATCTGATTGATATCATTCAGTTACTGATATATTATAATGACACATTTTATTGTTCTTAATTTCAACTTGAAAAAACATGAGCAGCAATAAATCCATGGTAAAGAACAGCTCTTAGATCATATATTAAAAATAATACAATATGCATATTAAAATATTGACTTACTAAAGCATTGCATATCTCCTTTCCATTCACCATTCTCACAGGTTTTATATGAGCCACCCTCTAAATTATAGTTATCCCGGCAAAAGTATTCAACCTGTTCACCATGGTCATAATGTAATCGTATGCCTCTGGTTTCTCCATTTGGTAGAGATGGTGGTGCTGAACAACCTAAAGCCCCTAGATGAAAGTAGAAAATAAGGAAACATTCACATTAAACTTATTTGTAATCTGTCTCTCTACAAACACACTTACGGACAAAATAGTTTTTACCCTCATTTCATGGAACAAAAAGCCAAAATGATCACAGAAATTACTTGAATCTAAATACAAACTCTACAAAAGAACTAATGAAATTCATGCATTGCTTTGTTTTAACCATCCTTCAACAGAAATATTTTTCAACAGAAATATTTTAGAAAATAAACTAAAACACAAAAAAGGCCTACAGCATACATGGTTGAGTTTATCGGCCAAGCTTGTGGTGCAAACAAGGGTTTTAGTTTCTGCCTCCATCAAATACAGCATACTTTTCACTTATTTTTAAATAAGGTCTGAACAGCTACCTATATTATAAAATGCATTCAGTTTTTGTTAAGTAAAACATTTTTTTAATATGTGTTATTTACAAATCAAAAAGGTTCATATGGGATTCACAGGGTGGCTGGTTTTCCCATTGTCATCTCTCTCTGTGCTTAGCAGGTAAACCTACCATTTTATTCCACCATATACTTCTGTGTAGCTGCCATAAATAGACCTACTATTCTTTAATAAACATAACTTTTTAAATAAATAATACTGAACTCTGCCATTTTGGAAGTGGTATGTCAACTGTTTCTTTTTTACCCCTAGATTTCTGCTTTTTCTGTTCATCACTGCCCGTCTGTGGTTTTTGCAAGTACTGCAACTACATCTGCTCACAAACATCTTCAACATCTTACTGCAACAGGCCATCATCCCTCAGTGATTCGGATCAGCCATAATAATCCCGTTGCCAAAGGAACCAGCCATCACAATGCTTAACAACCTTCAACCCAGCGCACTCACATCCACCATCATGAACTGCTTCAAAAGTGTGTTTAAGGAAAACATCTCCTCCATACTGCCCCGATCATTTGACTTTTTCCAGTTTGCATTTCAGCACCGCTGCTCCACAGACGATGTCCTCTCCACTGCTCTCCATCTGAGCCTGGACCACCTGGAGAAGAAGGACTCTTCTGTAGAGTTGCTGTTCCTATACCTCTGCTCAGCATTTCATGCCATCATCGCCCAGAACCTGGTATGCAAAATGGAGCCCCTGGGCATCCACACATCCCTGTGTAACTGGCTACATGACTTTCTGACCAACAGATCACAGTCTGTCCGAGTGGATGGCAGCCCCTTCAGTGTCTTCTCGCTGAACATCAGCTCCCCTAGGGGCTGCATCCTAAGCCCCCTGCTAGTCACACTGATGACACGACTGCCGCTCCAGGTACAACAGCAACCACAAACTGAAGTACATTGTTGACACTACAGTTGTAGGCCTCATTCAGGATGATAATGAGGTGGCCGACAGGGAGGAGTTGTGACATCTGGTGGACTGGTGTCAGGCGACAAAAGATGATCTCTTTTTACGATAAGACAAAAGAAATCATATTTGACTTTAGGAGACTCAGACTCTCCCACGCACCCTTCTCACTAACAACACAGCCGTGGGAGTCGAGTAGCACCAAGTTCCTGAGGGTGCACATCACTGACGACTTCAGCTGGTCACTCTACACCACCTCCCTGGTGAAGAGGGCACATCACCACACCTGCACTTCTTGCAACAGTTCAGAAGCCCCCCCCCCCATCCTCTTCGCCTCCTACAGAGGGATCACTGAGAGCCTGCTGACCAGCTATATCTCCACCTAAAAGTCTCTGCAGAGAGTGGTAAGGACAGCAGAGAAGATAATTGGGACCTGCTCCCCTTCTTCCGAGACTTTGCAGACAGCCGTTTCCTTTCGAAAGCTCACTGCATCCTCGCTGACCCCACACCCCCAGCATGGACTGTTCCCCCGCCTTGCATCTTGTAGGATGTTCTTGCAGCATCTGATGCAGAACATCCAGCCTCATAAACAGCTACTTCACACTGTCCCCATGCCACCACCACATGAACAAATATCCCAGCATCCAACTCTTGTTTTTTGTTTAGTGGTTGACAAGTGCAATAGTATTGTGCAATTTTTATAAGGTGCAATATTATGTATGCAGTGAAATATCAGATGTTTTATTTCATTTCTACTTCTTAATCCATCCTGCTACCACACTTGTCTTTGTTATTACCTGTATTGTTTATTTTTCAGATTCCAACTCCATATTACCTATTGCACTAAAATCATTTTTTCTCAGCAATCTTATATTTGTAGATAGATTTATGTAGTTTTTCAATTATCCACAGTATTTATGATGTAACCTAACTACAGACCTTGCTTTACCCGGTAGCCAAATAATGACATTCTGCTGTCAATGTCACTTTGTGGCTTTGTACAATGACAATAAAGGAAGTCTAAGTCTTAAATATTTCAGCCATCTACAGCACATGATGTTCACCTAGGAGTCAGTTTAATTATTTGAATGAGATATGCGTCAACAGAAAAGTGTCTAAAACATGCAAGTCAGTGGTACTTGAGGACCAAGATTAAGACACCCTACTGTTGCCTTCATGAGATTTTGCTCTTTCGACACCTTGGTGATGACACACCTTTTCAGAAGTCATCAGTTAGGACTGAAACAGATTATTTTCATTTTCAGTAAAAGGGACAGGATGGCTTTCTGATCAATAATAGATTACAGTTGGTGTTTTGACTTGTGCCTTCTCCAAATCCTTCTGCATTTGTTCAGTTCTCTTACCAGATATCATAACTTAATTTCTGAACTTATTTGTTTTGGGTTCTTTCTATAGCCACATTAACACTACCCTTGTGAAACCGTGCCGAGATCAGTCTGAACCGGATCGTGCCAGATACAACCGAACCGCACTCACTGCGCTGCTTAGCAGTGTAATTAACCCCATGTCTGTCATTGTTTTTTCTGCGTCTGTAAACCATGATTAGACTTTTATTTGTTTTATCCACTTCCCAAAAGCCGACTCTGTCAAGTAACTTTACCAAAGGCTGCCTTCTTATCAAATTCTAACCAAACTTCCTGAATGTTACGGGTGCCACCCTGTTGATTTGTTTGTTTCCCTCTACAGAGCTGTAGCACCATAATCGTCACAAAGAAGCGAGGAACCGTGCTAACATGATATGTGTAAATGGTCATGAGGAACAGAGCTCAGCACGGTTAACTGATCCAAGCTTGGTCCGAACTCAGAGGGTATTGTAAATGGGGCTAATGTATAGATGCTAGGGCTGGGCGATATAGAAAAAAAGATTATTGATAAAAAAAAAAATGCATATTGATCGATATCGATAATTACTGAAAAGATTTGAAACCATATTTTATGTGCAGCTCTGCCTGGACATTTTATGATATTGCTAAATGATTTAATTTTAATAAAGAACACAAACACAGACTTCCAATTAAATATTTATTTAACCAACTTTTTTAACCATAACAGAATTGTTTTAAAGAAAAATAACTTAAAAGACCTGAGTTATGTTATTAAATACTGACAAAGAATAAACTAAAGTAACCAGAAAAGTGACCAAAATAAATATACCGGTAACAAATAAATAAAAATGGACGCCACCGCCCCACAGGGTGCCACAGAGGGACACAGAGTGCAGGCTATTGAGATCGAACCGGTTACCTGCAACCTTTTCAGAGTGCACTTCTCTAACCACTAGGCCAACACCTCCCTTTTATCACTTTCATTAATGTCTCTACTTTGGTGTTTAACACCCTTCAGAATTTGCTGTTTCTTCAGTTCAAAACCAAAATTGTACAAAAAAGTGAATAAAAGAAGAAGTGATTTACTTTCACACTCAGGTGGTGAGTCGCTCCACTTTCCATTTCCCAAACAAGTAATTGTTTTACTCCCTCTCATGATGTGTACATTTTGTACACAACTGAATGACAACTGAAATCCTTTCTCTAGAGCATTGCCTGGCACAGATGAAGCGGTGCGTACAGTTTCTGAATGATTTGGTATTCTGCATTTCTCTGTAAAACAAGAGATGGTTTACAACATTAGCAACAGAGGTTATATCTTAAAATAAAACTGGTGTCACAATATTCCCAACACCCCCATTATAACAGTAAAAAAAGTTTTAAACCAATTATTACTCATTTGTTACCTTCAACTTTTAATTTTGAATAAATAATCAAAATAACATTGTACTTTTTCTTTAGTGAACGCTGTGTCACCATAAACCACTAAATTGCGCAACATTTTATTATGAAAATTAATTTGCTGAAAGGAAACAGCAAATTTTAAAGTGCTTTATGCTTTGATTAAGTGATCTTGTGGTATTTATTATATTACCGGTATTATATTTGGAAACACTTTTTTCCACTCCACACAAGTTATGTGATCATCATCTGGAATGCTCTGTCATGTGTAAGGACAAAGAAGATAACTGAAAGAAGTATGATGGAACGACATAATTTGAATCATGAGGAGACGTAGGTGTATTTTTGTAGTTTGCTTCATCAAACATGAGGAATGCCAGTGTCGTGGTTTATATATGGATATATCATGTGTTAACATTTGCCACTGCCATGTTGTTTTTAATTTATCATATGAACATCCATCCATCCATCCATCCATCCATCCATCCATCCATCCATCCATCCATCCATCCATCCATCCATCCATCCATCCATCCATCCATCCATCCATCCATCCATCCATCCATCCATCCATCCATCCATCCATCCATCCATCGGCCAGTGTAGTCTATGGAGGGGAACTCTTCTCCTCTTGATAGACCACTATCTGTAGGTCTCCAATCTGTCGCAGGGTAGTGAACAAATATATCCATGTGCAATTGTAATTATATTTCTAATTTAATGGAAACACAGCAATTGCATTTTCAAAATAAACAGAATATTGCCATATTCTTGCACACTTTCGTAATAGAAACCCAATGAATGAAAGCTTGTTCACATATGTGAGAATGATGAGACAGAATGTGAACTAATGCTTGCGGACTAATGAATAAAGTTGTCGTCAGTCAGTAATATAAATCTTCCTACATGTAAACATTCTTCAGAGGAGCACTGTGGATAATTTTTGCAGATAGGAAAAGATCAACAGAATTTTATTAACAATTTTTAAAATAACTGGTTTTAAAGATGCCGTATGAACAGATTGGTTTCAGTGTTTACAAGGCTGCCCAAAAGAGGAAGTGAACATACCTGAGCAGGTTGGCAGTGGGGCATCCCAATCTCCAGTTTCTAAACACAGAATTTCAACAGAGCCCTCTATGTCATATTCTTCTCTGCAGTAAAATCGTACTTTATTTCCAGAATCCACCAGATTATTTTTGTGTGCAAATCCAGAAATTCCAAGACCAGGACCCAATTGTGGAAGTCTACAAGGAATGCCTAAAAAAACAAAATAGACATAAACAAGTTAGAAAACACAAAAACGTTTTCAACTAACTCTGTCTAAATTTTAGACAGAGTTAGTTACCACTCATTAATATGTAGTAATAAGCACAGTACTTGGCACTAATAAGAACCAACACATTTCCTGTGAGTTATTATACATCATTTAACGTGTTAGAAACTATATTTATTTAGGCCAAAGTCTAAATAAATATTTTTTCTTACCTGGACATTCTTTAGTTTTTGTCCACTCGCCGTTCCTGCATGTTGCATCTCCTCCTGCTTTTACACCCGGAGAAGTGCACACGTACTCAATCACTTCTCCTTCAATATATCTCTGTTTTTCCATAGCTTCTTCAACCGCTAGTCTTGAATTACTAAGCTTTTCACAATAAGCTGAAAGGAATCCACACAGTGTTACAACCCTGTTGAAATGTGATGTTAAAATGGCATTTTGTTTTCATTTCTATCAGTTCAGTATTTTATGGAAGCATTTTCAGAAATGCTTTTTCATTTTAAGAATGTTGCTGCATTGTTTGCCTTATACATGAAATTAGTAATCAATCATCCTGTTTGCATTTTCATTTTCTTCTTTAAAACTGCTCATCCTTTTACTTAATTAAAATGAAAAAGGAAATGCACCCCAGCAAATACATACCAAAATTCTATTTGAAATGTAAAATTAAAAAATCAAAAAGCATTTCCAGAAGGGCTTTTTCATTTTAAGAATATGGGTGGATTACTTGATTCATAAATCAAATTAGTAATCAATCATCCTATTTGCATTTGCATTTTCTTCATTAAGACTGCACATTTTATGCCATAATCAAAGAGAAAACACAGCGGACATTGCTTTTTCGTTTTCGTGGTCTGCCAGCAAAGTACTGTCCATAACTTGAAAACGAAAAAGCATTCTGAGTGGCGGGCACAGCAGAGTGACGTCAGCAGCTGCTCGGGAAACTGGTTGAATTGTCGGCTCTGACTATCGGGACATACTGAACGACCTCAATGACTAAAACAGTGGCAGAACTACTGAGGGAGGCCGCTGCTGCTTTAGAGCAAGTGCCTGCTTCTAACAGACCTGTGGCAACACCGACTGCTCCTGAGTTTCCCGCCGGCACGCTTACAATGTAATGCAATGTAGACATGCACAGTGCCCCCTAACGAACAAGATGGGTAGCCCGGTCAACAAGGACCGGAGGAAGAGCAGCTGCTGACGTCATTCTGCTGTGCGCCGCTCAGAATGCTTTTTTGTTTTCGAGTTATGGACAGTACTTTGCTGACAGACCATGAAAAAGAAAAAGCAATGTTCGGTGTTTTTTCTCTTTGATTATGGCATAAAATGTGCAGTCTCAAATGCAAATAGGATGATTGATTACTAATTTCATTTATGAGTCAAATAATGCAGCCACATTCTTAAAATGAAAAAACATTTCTGGAAATGCTTTTACATTTTCAAATTTTACATCTCAAATTGAATTTTGGTATGTATTTGCTGGTTAACATTTAAAAAAATAAAATTTAAATGTCTTTTTCTTTTTATTTAAGTAAAAGGATGAGCAGTGTTAAAGAAGAAAGTAAAAATGCAAACAGGATGATTGATTACTAATTTCATTTATGAGTCAAACAATGCATCCACATTCTTAGAATGAAAAAGCATTTCTGAAAATGCTCTTTCATTTGAAATATGTTGTTGTGCCATATGCCATGATCATACTTTTTGGACTTTGGGAACCAGTGTCCATATTTCATCCTGATAGGATGACCAGAGAAGAAAACGCAGCTTTGGTGAATAACAGCTGGGTGACTTCTGCAGCCCCCCCCCTTTTTTTTTCAGGAAAAGCAGCCTCATGCAAGTCACATGGAAACCAGCAGAGGTGTGAAAACCTACCCCCTCTCTGGGAGACAGAACAAAACCACAGAGCACACAGGATTCTTTCTCTTTTGCCTCCTTCTGCTCTTGGGCCACGTCCACACGAAGACGAACCCTGGCCTAAACGCACAAATTTTTCACCAAACCAGCCTCTCATCCACACGAAGCCGGCGTTTCGGGGGTCTGTAAACGATCTTTTTTTTATTCAGCCTTCAGAGTGGGAAGATTTCGAAATGCCGTTTTCGCGTTTCCATCTTTACGCCCTAACCGCATATTTTTTTTTACACGCATGCGTCATAGCGTCGCCTCTAAACACGCATGCGCGACCAGTATCACAACAACAATGGCGCCGTTGCTAATGCTACTCACCCTGCTGTCGGGCTTACAACAGAATCTTCTTCTTCTGGAATATCTCCAGGAAGAACAGAGCAATATCGACGACATAGTTCAGCACCTGAATTTGACTTAACCACGAAAATGGACCCGCAGGGCAACCATGTATAAATATTAGTGCACATGCCCAACATTTCGTCGCTTATTTTTGCTTTGGCACCACAGCGCCACTTACAGGCCTGGCATACATTTTGCAGCGTTTTCATGCATTCGTGTGGACGCTCACATTTATTTTACGTCTCCGTCTTTACGGCAAACGTTTTGGAAAATATCAGCGTTTCGTGTTCGTTTTGACTTCGTGTGGACGGGGCCTTGGTCTCTTCTGCTCTTGCGCTCAAAGCTGGGGCCCACTGTGGCCCACAGTGGAGATGCGGGCCTCAGGGAACCAGATCCCCAGAACCATCAAGGATAAGTCAGAACCTTTCAGAACCGCACTGCTGCAAACATACCTTTTGCAACACATTTCTCTTGAGTTTCAGAACTTATAGAGCCAAACTGGATGAGAACCATTCCCTGGGTGTGAGCCTGAGGGGACCCCTGCTGTGAGACTGAGACAAAGGAACCCCTGTCTGCAGAGCTGCTAAACTGGATGAAACTCAAGCTTTTCAAAGGGACATGAAAAAAGGTTTGCAGGTCTGTCATGATTAGGGACAGAACAAGCAATATGTCATTTGATGATGCTAATCATATTGTGTGTTTACTGCTGAGTAAAGACAACACTAAGTGATGCTAAAGAATGGACTGCATACTATGCTACAGGAATATGTGTTGAGCTGTTGCTAAAGCTTAGACAAGCTTTATTCACTAAGGATTTAAACACTGATGTAACATTAGTGTTCATATGTTCCTCAGGTGCTCATTACATTTCCATTACCAATCCTGATGTCTATTCGCTGCTAGCTATTTCAAGGAGGGTAAAGAATCATTTAACTAAACATTTTTGGTTCTTGATTAAGCAAATCATTCAATAAAACATAATTTGGCCAAATAATGTTTTATTTACCTCTTGGATTTGCATTGTGAGTTGGTCTAAAAACGTTCCAATTTCTTTAAAATTAGTGAAAAGCTAATTTGATCATATCCCAAATTCTTCCAGAAAAACTGGTTTCAAACACAGAATACATCTTTGTTGGGATCCAGAGGCTTGCCCTCCAGAGGGCGCCGAGGATCCCTTCCTGTTTGTATGTTTTTCTGTTGGGATCTGGGGTGCTGTCTACTTTCCTCCACCAGACGGCGTACTGGATCTCCTGAACCTGGAGCTGCCTTCACCAGCTGATTCTCATCTGCTCATCAGGGGACCAGTACTTAAGTGGGCTGTGGACAACACCCCGACGCCAGAGTGTTTTTGTAAATCACGGTACAGCAACCCTGAGCCAACCAGCCTGTCTGATCCTCTGACTCCACTGAAACCAGATCCAGCACCTGATCAGTTTTGTCTTCTTTGCTTCTAGGAAGAAACCTGACTGAACCCTGGGACTCTGGAGGAGTCCCTCTTGCTGATATCTGCCTGCCGTATCTCAGGAGCTCTGGATGAGCTCATCATCAAAGACCTGTCTTCCTGCTCTTGGTAGCCAACCAGGAGCTCTGCAGTCTGGATCTGCCCGCCTGTTCTCTGGAAGAGAACTTAGAGCAACCCCCGGATCAAATCTCAGCTAGTCAGAAGCCTAGCCCTGCTGCTGCCTAGCCCTCTGCTAATCCCTCTGCCTCTGAACTCTTCTGGTTTCCTCTCCCAGCCTGAACCACAGTTCAGAGTATTCTGTTTGATCAGCCCGGACTCATCCTATATCAGTACAATAACCTGGATTGTGTTTTCTCACAAATAAACTGTTGAACTTTTTCTCAGTCTCCGTGGTGTTCTGCGTTTGGGTTTAGCTTCCATAACCCAACATGACAATCTTAAATTGTAATATATTTTTCAACCGTTTTACCCTTCCTCTTCGTACAAAGTAGTTAGTTTAGTTTAGTTGAGTTTTACTAGTCTTAGTTCAGAGTGTTAAACTAAAATATGTTTGACTTGGAGCTGAATGATTTTTGTCAATAAAGTCTTATATTTTGAACAGAAGTTGTGGTGAATTTATTCCATGTATGTGCAAAATTAACTGTTTGACCATGATCAGTGCTCGAATCACTCTTTCATCTATTGTTCTAACACACAGTTAGTAGGATGTGTGTCATAAACAGTATATAACAGCTGAAATAATATCCGATTAAATAAGATATTTTACCACCCCTACAGGGGAGGGCATTAAACATCTTAAAGTATCATCAACAAAAATTCCCAGCGGGCTGGGAATAGAACAGAACATAAAATCACAACATTTATATGACGTCCCTGATTGCTGGGCCCCCATTGAATCACAACAATGTTAACGATTTGCTTCCATAGTATTTGACTGTGTTGTTATACTTCTGTAAAGGTAAAACAGAATGACGAGGAAAAGGCTGAATAAAAACACCCTCCACTTTGGGCTGAGCAGCAAGAGGAGCAGTGAAGAGAGAGAGATAGAGGGAGAGCAGGTACTAAAAAAGGAAGCAACCGTGGCTGTATATGTATGTTTTAAAATTAGAGTGTTTATTTAATGATACTTGACATATTATGTAAGATTATAATGAAATATGTTCAAAAGCTGAAGGACATTAAGTATCATTAACGTACTAGTGTAATAGGGCTTGGGTGTGTATTTTTAATACTGAAGTCAAAATGAAGCAACTAATTTCAATTTTTATTTCA